TGAAGCGTTAGCCGATTCTGCCAAAACCATTGCCGAGCTTGTCTTGCACCTCCTAGGGTGGAAGATTGCCGAGGACCCCAAAAAGTCCCTGCCCTTTGCCAGGTCTTTGCCATGCTGGGAGCCAGTTTTTCACTTGTGCGAGCCCCTTCCGGCATCCTGGAAGACGCAACTCCGCGAATAGCGGATGAAGCTTTATTTTTCCCTGTGTCAAAAATTTTGGTTTGTCAAACAAACTCAAAATTTAGGGCGTGAGTTTTGTCAAAGTTTTCCCAACACAAGACATGACAGTTCATGTTTGAAGAATCTTGATGAAGCCTTTGTTATGCCGTCAGTTGGCTCCACAGGGTGGTGGGAGGGTAAGAAAAAAATTCCCGGCATAAGTCCGGGAAAAAGTTTTGTCAAACGGGGGCCCGAGGCTCAACAGGTTCGACTTTTAACCTGGCTCCTTTCGACGTTGCCTCTAGGGCTCCGTGCACGCCTCCTTAGGAGGCAGATGGAAGCAAATGCTGATTCTTCTCTTGTGGCTTCAGAGCTACGGGGGCAGAGTCAGGAAGCCACAGGTGTTGAAGAGTCTGATGTGTGCACTAGCATGCCGCTTCCTGCTGAAAGTGAATTGAGCTTTGACAGAACTCTTGAGCTTCTAGGAGAAGAGCTTGAGGAAACAGGAACAGGGCGGCCTTTGCCTTCGCATCTTGATGCCTTCATGCCTTCCGAAATAGATAGTGAGCAGGGAGCAGCTTGCACGCGCGATCGAGAGGCTGCAAGGGAAGTGGCCAGTTGTGTTGACAGCAGCCTGCTAAATGATGCCTTGGAGGATTCTGTGCTTGCTCTGGGTAGGAGTGTAGTAGACATTCCTTTGCCTTGGGAGCAGGAGAGCATGAGCTTGGTGTTCGGTGAAGATGACTCAGTGACAAAGCTTTTGGCAGGCCTCCCGAAGCACATACCTGTGCCTGCTGTGTCCAGCACCAACATTCAGCCTTCAGACCTTGTTGCCGAGCCACCGGCAAAACGCGCACGACAAATGCCTGAGAGTGGGGAGTGTTTCAGGGTTGCTATTTCTTCGAGGGCCTACGACAGTTATGAGGAAAAGGAAGAGGCTCAATGGCGACGTGCTCTTGAGAAGTGGCTGGTCATTCTTACTGAGTGCCCGGGTTCGTCATATATCGGAGAAACAGTTGCCATCCAAAAGACGGATGACGCGATTGAAACCTTGCGTGAACTCTTTGGGCGAAAGAGTGGCAGTACAGTCATGAAAAGGGGATCGGCCCTCATGGGATACCTCTCATGGGGGCGAAAGGAATGCAGGGCCGATGACCTGTTCCCTTTCAAGTCTGCGCATCTAGATGGATACTTGAAGCACCTGAAGAGCGAAAAGAGGCCCGCCGGGGCTTTCACCAGTTTTCAGGAGTGCGTGAACTTCGCTATACATGTGGTCGGCGTTGCTGTCGACGAGACAGTCCTAGGACCGAAGCAAAGCACTGTGCAGCTGACCAAGGCAGAGCGGAGGCAGGCCACGGTCCTGCTTGTGGCATACGTTGCAGCCCTGGAACGTATGCTCGAAGATGAGTCTGTTAACAGCTTTGATCGTTACGCCTGCGGTGCAATTTTGTTTGGGATCTTCTCTCGGAGCCGAGTGTCGGATTTGAGAAAAACATTCGGTTGGTTCCTTGACTTCAGTGAACTTGGAAGTGGAGGGGAAGGTTTCATAGAGTGCAAGACGCGAGACCACAAGACTGCCAATGCTGTGGCTCATACAGGTTTCAGCATGCCCTTGGTTGCGCCTGCGCGAGGAGTTACATCTTCAGCATGGGCCGTGACGTGGGCCAAGGTTGCAGAAGATGTCGGTTTGGGTTTTAGTTCCACCCGAGTAGGACCCGTGCTTCCTGCACCTGATCAGAAGGGGGGCTGGACTCGACGATGTGTCGATTCGGGAGAGGTCACCAAGTGGATGCGTGCGTTGCTTGACAAGGCTGGTTGCGATGTGCCTGAGTCGTCGACCTCGCATGCCATCAAAGGGACGTCTTTAAGCTGGTGCTCTAAGTATGGAATGGATAAGCATACCCGCCTGCGCCTAGGACATCATAGCTCGGGCGACGGATCCTTAGATGCCTACGGGCGCGACAACCTTGCGCCAGCCCTCTTGAAATACACTGAAATGTTGGGAAGCATCAGACGAGGTGTGTTCATGCCTGACTTGAGCAGATCAGGACGGTTCGCTGATCGTCCGATTGTGAAAGTCGAAGTGTCTGAGGATGAGGCTGCATCGCCGAGTCTGCCTGCGTTTGATGCTTCTGAAGAGGAGGGATCTTTGGGCAGGACCACTGAATCGTTCGAGAAGGTCGATGCTGTTGCCACTCCGTTAGCAGACCCTGCAACTTGTGGAGAACAGGGCCGTGAGAGTGAGTCGAGCGACAGCTCGAGCGAGTCGGAGCCTGAGTCCGGTGATGAATGGGTTAAGGGCGAGGACTTCCGACACCCAGCGAGCAAGCCTAGCACCTGGAGGCCTGAGGCCACCATGTACAAACATTCTAGGACTGGCGTTGTTCATCTCATGAGTGCTGGGAGCTCAGATGGGCTTTTCATATGCGGAAGGGCCCTCACCAATGATCATGTGGAAGTCAGCGGTGTGCCGTTCCTTGAGTTGCGAAAGTGCAAGCAATGTGATTCGGGTCGGCCGGTTAGAGATGTGGGCAGCTTGAATGCTGCGCTGCAGCAGATTATGAAATGCAAAGATAAGTGATCGAATCTTGTCCATGTGGGGCGAAAGAAAAGCGAAGTGCGCTTCGAGAGCAGATGAGGTTCATCTGAGAGTCAAGTTCGGCTGCGAGTGCAAAGGTTCTGAATGAGCTACGTTCCTTTGCTCGAAGTTTTGCTCAAGTGGAGAAAACATGTGAACAGGCATGAGTGTGTTCCGTGTTCACTGACGAGTGAGACATGATGGAAACACATGTTAGGAGCGGCTTGTGAACGTGGCATGTGACATCATGATTTGACATGTTTTCTGATCGGTAGGTCTGTGCTGTGTGACTTGCTGAGGGATCATGGGCTCGTTAACGGAATCCACAGCAGCTTTCGCATCGAGGGCGAAAGAGATCGGCTTGACTCAAGCCAATGTGGCCACGATAACGGGGACCGGAGTGGATACACTTTCCAAATTAGCTTTTGCAACAGTACCGCCGGGCCAGTCCCCGAGCGATGATCAGGTACAGCGGCTCTTCGGGGCCACACCCATTACGGCGGGGACGATGGCTGCAGCCAAGCGTTTGATCTTTGAGGCCCATACCCTCGTAGTCCAAGAGTTAAAAACCCGAGTTCAGTGGGGAGACTCTGGAGCACCTTCGACGCTTGCCACAGCCGAGAGGGAAGAGCGCGTCACAGAGCAGCGCGCAAGGATCACGGGCCTTCTGCATCGTGGTGTCGAAGAACCTAGCCATGCCTCTTATGACTTGGTGTATTCCATGCTGTCGGCGGACTCCTTGACGTACTTAGGGCCAGATAGGTTTCCAACCCGACAGTCGGAACTTCAGGGCAAGAAGCCGGGGAAGGAGCTCACCATCGACGGAAACAGTGTGACGGTGAGGGACAAGGTGCCTCATCAAACTTGCACAACGGGGACAGAACTTGAGCTTACGCAGGCTCTGAGGCGTCGGGCCTTAGCATTTGATTTAGTCAAGTGCGCCAGTTATGACACCATGAATCGGTATCACTCGTCCTTGATTCATCGGCTGCAGGAGTTGCCACCGCCTACTTATGTGAAGATTTCGGTGGCACAGGTACTTAGGGCGGACAGGGCAGCTTTCACACGCATTGCTGAAAGCCTTCCCTCAATCAAGCGTCAGCCCGATGGGACTTTGCCTTTAGATCGAGCCCTTGAGAACATTCTGCAGGATCCCAGCATCAGCTTCCACTTGTTACCTTTGAAAGGTGGAGAGATCGATGATAACAAACGGAAGTGGACAGATGACGCCAAAAAGACCGATGAGCCGACCAAGTGGAAAAAGAATGGCAAGGGAAAGGGCAAGGGCAAAGGCAAGGATCAGCCAGGAGTTAAAGGGGCCAAATTCATCAAGATGCCGAAGCAGCTCGTCGGGAAAGCCAGCGAGACCAACGAAGGAAAGAGGTTGTGTTGGGCATACAACATTGATGGATGTCCCAATGCTGCTGACGGCGAGGAGTGTCCTCGCGGATGGCACTTGTGTTGCGAGCCAAATTGCTTCAAGGCGCATCCGTTGCCCAAGCACCGAAAGTGACAGCCGGCCGCCTCGGCTGTACCGGAGCCCGAGTCTTATCTTCAAAAAGTAATGGCTAGGGTTAAAGGGGTCTCCTTGGATGAATGTCTCGTCTTAGAGGTCTCGCCGAATTCGGGGCGATTGATTGCATGCCTCAAGCAGCGACAGCTTGATAACAGTTTTTCCGTTGATAGAACAGCCGGCAAGTGCTGTGCACCGCGAATTGTGATTGACTTGTGTACAGAGTCGGGTCGCAAGCAATTCCAGGAGATTTTGACCGAAGAAAATTTGATCTATGTTCATTTTTATCCGCCCTGTAATACTAGAAGCCGCGCCAGGTTGCGTCAATTTGCAGGAGCCCCTGCAATCCTGCGGAACGAATCACATCCCGATGGAGTTCCAGGGTTGGGGCTAGCCGATCGTACTAGAGTGAGTGATGCCAATGCTTACCTGCGTGCTGTGGCTGCAGCTTGCAATACATGTCACGAACGCGGAGTGCTTTTCAGCATCTGCAATCCAGAGTCAAGTTTCGTGTGGGCTACCAAACCTTTGCGACTTTTGCTTCAGGAAGTTCCTCTCTTCACAACGCACTTTCACCTTTGCAGCTACGACTCGCCCTTCAAAAAGGCTATGCGAATGTTGCACTCCCTGCCAAAATTTTTGGAGTTGCATCGTCCATGTGCCGGTGGACATGTACATAAGTTTTGGTCTAAGGGTGTAGGCTGCAAGTTCGACCGTGATTTGGATTTTCCTTGGGGCTTGTGCAAAGCTATGTCACAGCTTCTGCAAGATCAACTGCTTGACATGGGGGCCAAGCCTCTGCCTACTGACTTGAGTCAGGCAACACCCACCGTTGCAGCGGCCAGAGCTGTGGCTGGATGGCAAAGCAATAAGCGTGTCCTTCCTCTGGTTCCGGAGTTCAAACATGTTGTGAACGTCCGTGGCAGCTTCACTGCTGCGTCTATGCATGGCCTTCAAGTAGGCTGCAAACTCCCTGCACCATGGGAGGTACCTGCTTCTGCAAACGTTGACCCGTGCTTCGTGTCGTCCGTGCCACAAGGTGCCAAAGTCCTTCGCATCCTCACGGTGCCGGGGGATAGTTCAGAGGATGCTTCTGACAACTTGAGTGCAGGCCAGGCCGACGGGCAAGACGACTCGCCGGCAGCCAGTTTTCTTCACCGTACATGTTCGGACCTTCACTCTCCGCCTGAGGATGCTCACCCTGCTGAGAAGCTTGCTTGCATCATGTTACGGTGGAACACTCGCTTCAGCCAAGAGGAGATGCGAACTCTCTTGGACATGTTGCCGCAAAAACATCAGACCAGAGCCAGGGGGAGCTGTGATGACCAATCTAATCAGTTTCTGTGCGGAGCCTATGCTCATGGGCCCATGACGGGCTGCAAAAACTTGACGCGGGATATGCCTTGGTGCACTGCTGTGCTTTGCAAGCATGTTCGCGATAATGCTCCGGGTTTTTGCTTCTCTGCCGTGGGCTATCTGTGCAATGTGCGTGCAGAAGCCCATCGTGATTTGCACAATGAGCCAGGAACAAAGAACCTGATCATGGCAACGCATGCTTGTGCTGGCGGAGGACTGTGGCTCGAGGAGGCAGGTGGACCTATTGCAATGGTCGTCGGGAAAACCCAACGTGCTGGGAGATTTCACGACTTAGCAGTTGGGAGACCCTTTATCTTTGAACCGAAGCGTTGGCATGCCACTCAACCGTGGCGAGGTGACAGAGGAGTGATCGTGGCATACACCCCAGTGGGAGTGACCAAACTTGCGACTGCCGACAAAGGGTTCTTAGAAAACTTGGGTTTCCCCTTAGGCCCCTCTTGTGGTTCTAGTGCCTCCCAGGGTCGCAAAAGTACAAAAAGGAAGTATAACTTTCGGCGTGTACCATGAGCCGGAGGAGTTCGTGGCGAGGGCGTTGAGCGTGCAACATCCGTGTCACTTGGAAAGCCTTTTGCCATCAGAGCTTGTCGAGGCCATACGGGCGAATCATTCCAAAGATGTTGCTACGCTTGGGCGAGAGCGAACTGAGATGCTCAAGAAATGGCTCGCTCGTGCTGAGGAGCTGGAAACTGCCGAAAGCCAGCTCAAGGGATCCTTCAGCTCCCATCGACGTCAAGTGTTGTGCAACAAGCGGCTGCTCTTGATGAAAGAGATGCTTGACAGTGTGGGACATGAGGACGAGGACTTGATATCTGATCTGTCAAACGGTTTTGACTTAACCGGACCCCTGCCACGATCTAACGCCTTTAAGAATAAGTACCGCCCGGCAGCCATGGCCGAGGAAACGCTTAGGAAAAGTGCGGGTTTAGTTAGGGGTCAGGTTTTGGCTTCGGTTAAAAGTTCAGGTGACGAGATCGTGGATCAAGGCGTGCTTGCAGCCACGGAGAAGGAGTTGACCAAAGGCTTCATTGAGGGGCCGGTGAGTGCCAGCGACATCCCTGATGATGGGACGGTCACTCATCGCTTTGGAGTGATTCAAGGAGAGACCGAGGAAGGTCCCAAAGTTAGACCAATCGATAATTACTTGAGTTCGCTTGTAAATTCGGTTGTATCCCAAAGTGAACAAGTGCCCGTTCACACGATAGACGTAGTTGCTGGCATGTTGGCGATGTGGTTGCACTTGTCTCCTTTGAAGTCCTTGCGTGCGGGACTTGTGTGCAAATGTTGGGACCTCAGTGCCGCGTACAAGCAACTGCCGCTTAGTGACAAGAGTTTCGAAAAGGATAGCTTTTTCGTAATCTTCTGTCCCCGCACTCGCAAGCACGTCATCTACAAGCAGCGGGTCATGCCCTTCGGGGCAAAAGCCTCAGTGACCGCCTTTATCCGTTGTGCATTCGGGATTTGGCGGTTGGGGGTAAAAATGTTTGCCTTGGTCTGGAGTTTTTATTTTGACGATTTCCTATCGGCCTGCAAGCCTGAGGAGCGCCGACATGTGGAAGTCGTGATCAGCACTCTGTTTCGGCTACTAGGTTGGGATCTTTCACTAGATAAACTTTTGCCTTACGACGTGTGCTGCAAAGTTCTTGGAATCAAGATTGACATGTCTGAAGCTCGCCTGGGGCTCTTCAAGTTGGCGAACACCGAAAAGCGTGTGCTTGAGTTGACTGCTGCCTTGGACGAGGTCTTGTTAGCTGGCAGGTTGTCGCATTCTGACTGCGAGAGGCTTCGTGGTAGGCTGCAGTTTGCTTCGGGCCAGTTGTTCGGTCGGAGGGCGAAGGTTGCTCTGCATCAGCTTAGCCGGCATCACGGAGGTCGGTTGAGTGAGGTCACTTCCGAGGCGTGCCGCTTCTTGAGGCGTCTGGTTTCGTCAAACCAGAGCCGCTCGATTAGTCGGCAACTGGGCAATGTTGTGCATGTGTATGTGGATGCATCTTTCAGCGATGAAGGCAAGCTTTGTGGCATCGGGGGCATGGCATATGACCATAAAGGCTCCTTGCTCCAATGGTTCGGTGAAAACCTTGATGCTTCGCTTGTTTCCCAAGTCATGACGTCCTTTGAGCGTGTCAAAGAGACTGTCATCTTTGAGCTGGAGGCTTTGGCGGTATATGTTGCGCTGAAGTTTTTCTTCAAAGCTCTTAAGGGCAAGAATGTGGTTGTGTTCACCGACAACGAAGGTGTTCACGGCGCCTTCGTAAAGTGCTGGACAGTGAGTCAGTTTGCAACGCATGTTATCGATGCGGTATGCGCGATTGAGGAAAGCCTTGGCTTTATGATTTGGTACGATCGAGTTCCATCTGTGAGTAATCCTTCGGATCCGCTTTCGAGAGGAGTGTGGAACCTGCCGACACCTGTGCGTGTTAGGCCTGCGGCAAAGTTCTTCGAAAGCCTTCTTGAGGAGTCGAAGTCACGACCGAAGTGATGTGCACAAGTGGTGCGGCGGCAAGTAGTTTGGGCGCTCTTAGTGCCAAGACAGGGGCAGGGCAAGGCACTGCGATGCCCCAATCACGAGAAAAAGCGAGCCGCTAGTGTGAGCCGAATTTTTTATTATTTATGAAGTATATATTCGGACGAAGAGTGAAATATCCGGATTTTTTATATGTATACTCTTTTGTATATATAGAATATGGAACGCCCGGTTGACACATAAGGGAAAATAAGACGCAACTCCGCGAATAGCGGATGAAGCTTTATTTTTCCCTGTGTCAAAAATTTTGGTTTGTCAAACAAACTCAAAATTTAGGGCGTGAGTTTTGTCAAAGTTTTCCCAACACAAGACATGACAGTTCATGTTTGAAGAATCTTGATGAAGCCTTTGTTATGCCGTCAGTTGGCTCCACAGGGTGGTGGGAGGGTAAGAAAAAAATTCCCGGCATAAGTCCGGGAAAAAGTTTTGTCCCACCCAGCCCGCCCTGTTTGTTACTCGCACAAGTTGTGCTGCGAAGTTCGCAATGATGCAGGTGGCATCTTTCTTTGACAATGCATGTTGTGCAAATGCGTTTTGTTGCAACTGAACAAAGAGCAAAGCGCCCTGGGCCCGAGCCCAGGGCAAGGCACTGCGATGCCCCAATCACGAGAAAAAGCGAGCCGCTAGTGTGAGCCGAATTTTTTATTATTTATGAAGTATATATTCGGACGAAGAGTGAAATATCCGGATTTTTTATATGTATACTCTCTTGTATATATAGAATATGGAACGCCCGGTTGACACATAAGGGAAAATAAATAGCGAACAAGGAAGGACGCCTTGAATCCTTGAGGACGTTGGTGAACTCAGTCTGTGCCGAAGGTTTCGTGCAACCTGCAGTGCTGGCAAGCTTGAAAGGACGGCTCTTGTACGCCTCGACCCATACCTTCGGGCGCGTTGCCCTGATGGCCGTCAAGTGCCTTTCGAAACACTTGAAAGGCGGAGGGGTGCTGAAGCTTAGCTCGGATGATTGCGTTCTGCTGCAGCACACTATCGGGTTGCTTGAGGACATGCGTCCGCGAGAGATCAAAACTGATGCGAGTGACCGACCGGTCATAGTTTTCACGGATGGTGCTCATGAAGAGGCAGATGGCTTTACAGCTCACGGTGGAGTCTTGATTGACCCAGTCAGGGGAGTGCACCGTTTCTTCGGAGAGCGAATCCCAACGGCGTTCGTAGACTCTTGGGGAGCTTATGGCAAACGTCAGCTGGTTGGCCAGGCGGAAGTCCTGCCGGTTCTCGTCGCCAAGATTGTGTGGGCTGGGTTTCTTAAAGTCTTAAAGGCCGAAATGTGCTGTGGTTTATAGACAACGATTCGGCGAAAGGCTGTGGTTTATAGACAACGATTCGGCGAAAGCAGCATTGGGCTCAGGCTCATCCCCGGTGCTGGCAACATTTGCAATGCTGTGTGTCGGCGCGCACATCGACGTGTCGCTTGAAGCAGCGCACTGGTACGCCCGAGTGCCGTCCAAAGCAAATCTTGCTGATGATGCTTCGCGCTTGAACTTTGGCTTCTACGGTGCTGAGTACACCCGGACCAATGTGGACTGGACTTGCTCGAGCCTCGAAGCCCTTTTGCGCTCATGCACCGCGGTCACCGATGCCTCAACACTCGAGTTGTAGTGGGGAGATAAAGTGTTGAGGAGCCTGGGGCCCTTTGATGCACACATTCCCCTTGAGCGGGCACCGGGTGTCCTGATGCAAATGCTGGGCGTTTGTATCCTCGCAATCGTACAACTCTTGATGAGGACGCCGTGACCGCCATTGGATGAAAATGAAGGTGAGCGCATTGCGAAGCTGATTTTCGAGATACGTATATTGTGCCTTGAAGATATATATCCCTGATTGGAAATTTTGATATGATTGGAACATATCTGCTTTTCACGTGTGCCACTACGTGTTGTGCGTAGGTTTTCGAACTGGGCATCGAGACCAACCTTGCATCCTTATCACTACGCACCTCCGCGCACACTCTTACTTGTATCTGCAGGTGATTTGATTGTTTCACACCTCGGCAATAAGAAACACATCGCGGAGCGATAAATCTTTATTGCCTAGTGTGAAAAGGATGCGCTGGGTGCATCCGCCAATCAAATCAAACCGTTGGAAATTTGTTTTGTGCAAATTGAATGTTTCAAACAAACTTGTGTTTGTCTTCTCGCCCAAAAAGCTTTTGCCATTCTTTTGCATGACATCAATCACTTGTGGTGTTGATCCATGAATGCAAACCGGGCAGCTTTGTGCTCAAGTGCCCTGCTGGCAAAGTTGGGGCGTGAATTTTTCACCCACCCACCCGCCCGGGAGATAAAGTGTTGAGGAGCCTGGGGCCCTTTGATGCACACATTCCCCTTGAGCGGGCACCGGGTGCCCTGATGCAAATGCTGGGCGTTTGTATCCTCGCAATCGTACAACTCTTGATGAGGACGCCGTGACCGCCATTGGATGAAAATGAAGGTGAGCGCATTGCGAAGCTGATTTTCGAGATACGTATATTGTGCCTTGAAGATATATATCCCTGATTGGAAATTTTGATATGATTGGAACATATCTGCTTTTCACGTGTGCCACTACGTGTTGTGCGTAGGTTTTCGAACTGGGCATCGAGACCAACCTTGCATCCTTATCACTACGCACCTCCGCGCACACTCTTACTTGTATCTGCAGGTGATTTGATTGTTTCACACCTCGGCAATAAAGCAACGGCCGCGACGTGGAGAAAAAGTGAGTGCGCCCGAGTTTTCAATAGGACAGTGAAGCCATGCCAGCAGAGTGTGGATTTCACGCAATCTGTTTTAGGACATCTGAAAGATGAAGAAGGAAAGAAGGAAAGCAAAAGATGTTCAAAAGTGCTGAAAAGCGTGCGAGAAGTGAAGATTAAAGCTCAAAGGAGCATGCGAGAACCGTGGCGAAGTAGGAAAAAGTTTCACAAGGATTGCATTACACGACAAAGCTGTGTACGCGATGAGGGCGTAACAGATAGTTCAATTTTCCCTCATGTACAGTTACATACAGGAATCCAGTGTTTCACCGAAGGTCAAACGGAGGCTCAAGCACAGCCCAACAGCGGAGCTAAGAGTGAGAAAAGAATCCAAGCTCGTGCCGTGGTTATAAGAAGTATACTGGTATAAGGGTTTAAACTTTCACCGCCGCATCGGATGTGCAGCGAACTTTCCTAAGCGACGATTGCTTCGCACAGCTATACGCACTATCGCTAGACTTTAAAGCCGCGCACAAGTGCTACAAAGTACACCCGGAAGACCAAGGCACTCTGCTCGTTCGGGTGGGCAAGGCCTTGTATTATTACAAAGTCTGCCATTTCGGCGCACGCTTCTCTGCATACTGGTGGCAACGCACGGGCAGCCTCCTGCTCAGATGCATACACGCACTGCTTTGCGATTATCCGCATCGAGCATGGCTCTATGTGGATGATCTCCTCGCTCTGCTACGCACCGCAGATAAGGACATGGCAGCGGCACTCATAGTCGCATTGCTGTCAGCCTTGAATGCGCCCATTAGCTGGAAGAAAGCACAATTCTCGCAGGAGGTCACGTGGTGCGGTTGGACCATATGCACGGACGCAGAGACCATTGAGCTCCGCGAGCTCAAACTGCAAAAGCTCCGCGAGAAGCTCTTGTCACTGCAACAAAGAAGCAAAGTACAGCGCAAAGAACTCGAGGGGGTACTAGGCCTTCTTAACTGGGCAACGTCATTGAGCAAACACATGCGACCATTCATGGCACCGCTGTACAAAGATTTGCATAGCTGCAAGGGCACTCTGCACAGCATCTCCCCGAGTATGTGGGGAAATTTCTTGGATAGCCTAGACAAGAACGCTAAGCTTACACGCACACCAGCGGGCACATGGCTGCCACGCAATGCACAGCTACTCGAAGTAGGCAGCCTCAAAATATCCAGCAAATCCGCCGTCGCACAAGCATCAATGGGTGCGCCTGGCCGACCCGCACCGCTCTGAAGTACATGTGCGCCATGAAAGCAAGTTTGTGCTGGCGTGGCTCCAGCACTGCTTCTCACACGAGCAGCCGCGCTCGCTGCGCACAGCTCCACGCATGCACTGCTACAGCGCTGCGGACGCATTTGCAGATACGCATCGCATGGGCATTGGTGGCTGGATCAGCACATCCGACTCTTTTCTTTGGTTCAGCGCCATCTTCTCGGCTGAAGAAGTGCGCAAGCAATGGCCGCAACTGCAAGGCAGCCTGCAGCCATACATTGGGTGCTTCGAAGCACTCGCGCAGCTTGCACTGGCTCAATGCTCATGGCAACTGCTGCGCAGCAAGCAAGTACGCTTTGTCCTGCCCGCGGCATCGGACAACACCAGCGCCGAATCCGGTCTCAACAAGTTCTTCAGCACTGCAGAGCCACTGGGGACTTTTCTTCGCCTCGCAGCCACCTGGGCACACTTGCACCGCGTGCAGTTTGAGGTCGAGCACCTCGCAGGAGAGAAAAACGTGTGGGCCGACAAGCTTAGTCGAGGTTCCACTGAGTTCCTTCAGCATCGCACTGCTGACAAAGTTGAAGTGACGCGAGCGCAACCAGCCTCCGCATCGCACTGCGTGACACTGCACGATCTCACGCTTGAGTGGCCGCAACAGCTCCTTGACGCTCAGCACGCTATGCTCAAATGAGAAAAAAAGAGTGACGCGTCCCTCTCTGAATCTCATAATGCGCTTCACTGCTCAGCTCCCTCTAACTCCGCCTCGCCAGGTACATCCGCCGAATCGCGCGGTGAGGGGGAAATAGAGCAGAGATTGAAGGATGCACCTAAAGTGGGGGATAGCTCGGCATCGCATGCCTCTTTCTCTTACGGCGAGCAATGCCTCGCACAGCATCGCATCCTTAGCAATCTCTGCGGTCAAAAAAGGATTGATGACAGAACGCTCTGCAATGCAATCCGTTGCCCATTCGAAGTAGTTTAGAGAACGCTAGTTGTGAGTTTTTATTTTGTATCAACAGTGTTTTCTAACTTGTGTCGAATGTAGCTGTTGTTCCGCACTGCTTTTCGGCACAAGCTCTCACAACTAGCTTTCTCACGCTCTGCATCGCATGCAAGACTTTTCTTTTTCACCCACCCTCCACGCCCTGGGGGATAGCTCGGCATCGCATGCCTCTTTCTCCTACGGCGAGCAATGCCTCGCACAGCATCGCATCCTTAGCAATCTCTGCGGTCAAAAAAGGATTGATGACAGAACGCTCTGCAATGCAATCCGTTGCCCATTCGAAGTAGTTTAGAGAACTCGCGTTTTTCTGCGACGGGATTCAAAACGCGAGACACTTATGGCTGGCGGCTTTGGCAGCGCAAGCTACAGGGCGATGTTCCCTCCGAAGAACATGAGCTGAGTAGATGACAACCTGGCGCTGGACGACATGCAAGCATACCGAGACGGCATTTCACACGGCCACACAGAGGCGTTTTCCTGAAACGGACCTGTGCGAAGCTCCGAAAAGCTTGCTTCTTGGCTCTTCTTCGTTGTATCATTCTGAACAGGCCGGGTGTTCGGTTTATTTTGAGCAAAGCAGATCTGCAACGTCAGTTACAGGCCGTTTAGCAGGGTGTCGGGTGACGTCGAGTGCCTGAGCTTGTCTGGCCACAAAGCTTTCAGATCCGATGTTGCCTGCTCTCAGAATCTTCAAGGCATCGGAGTCTAAGCAGTGCAGCCAGCAGACCGAAGAGGTGAGGGGCTTGAAACAAGATGTATGCTATCCGGGTTTGCAAAGCAAAGACCGGCCGCAGCTAAAACAGCAATTGAGCTCCACGGATGCATGTCCCCAGCATGGGGCCAGACACCGTTGCTCTTGTGGTCCCTTTGCTCCCAAACCAAAATAACAGTGAAGCAAAGTTTAGGAGAAAGCGGGATTTGCGCAATTGGCACATTCAAGCAGCAAACATCAATCGGCACTGCCTGCATCCGGGATTCGTTCCAGCTGTTGGCTCAGCTCGGTGCATGTTTTCTGAATACTTCTGGCATGCACTTATTGCAGGGTTGTACAACCTGTGCAAACTGTGTGTGCGGGACCCCCTGTACCCCAACGAATCCCACCTATGGAATGCTCGCCGCATCTCCTCGGTTCATCAGTCGGTTCGATTAGACATGTCCTGCTTCAAACATGTGGGTGTGTGAGTGTTGGTTTTGGGGTTGGACGCACATTTCAACAAAGGCAGACAGTTGTTGTATAGTGAGTGAGTGCAGTGCTGCATCAGAAGCCTCTCAACTGACTCAGCGGCAGCCGTGAGGTCCCGAGGTCTCAGTCACGATCCTGCCCGGAGAAACGGGGCGGTCTTTTGCTTGCAGGTTGAATGGAGTTTCCATTTGATGTTGCGGGTCTGCTCGGTGCTCCAACTGGGCGAGAGGGGCCGTCTGGCACTCAAGACATCTTCTCATTTCCCCGGAAACATGGAAGCTTCCATGCAGCAGGCTTGTCGGTCTCGTAGATGAAAGCCATCTCCGAGCTGACAACGGGATGTTGTCCACTGTCTTGGAGGCCAGATCTTGCAGACTTTCAGTTTTGCCGCCCGAGACGTTTGCCTGATGTCAGGAAATGGGGAAAAGGTCAGCAGCTGCACAGGGCTTGCGAAAGCCGGTCACGTGATGTACCAAGCGAGCAGTTGTGAATGCTTTCGCTTCTATTGCTTTGCCAGAGTCGTGTGTGACCCGCCTTTGTCCGACTTGCAAGGTCCGGTGCTTTCTTGGGAGATCAGCGCGTGTACCTTCTCGCCCAAGGGAAAACGGCTCTTGGAGTGTTGAAGGCATGCTGGCCCATTCGCGGCCGTCTCTTGGAGTGCAGTGAACTTGTCGCGACACCCTGTCAGGTTGGCCGGAAGCGGCTTTTTGTTGAGGCTCCCTTCAGAAGCTGCGAGCTGGCAGATGCGAAGACCCCACAAAGCGGAATTCGGCACAGAGTTTTGCCAGCTGCATTGTCTTGCCCAGGTGCGGAATAGTTTCCAGGAGATTGAGCCGTTGTCCGGGTCTTGGTGCCGGGCGAGTCGGACCAGATCCAAAGTAGCCTCGGGTGACAGGTGCACCTTGGACTTCTACGTGCACGAAAAGTGCGGCGGCTTGCATGACGACTTAAGTTTGAGCTTTTCCTGACCTCGCCTTTTGCAGGTGCCAGCGTTCCGGCTTTGGTCACCAGCTTTTCAGCGCGATGCTCCAACTTGAAGAGATCGCTCCCGCCCCGCACTCGAACGGCTACGACACGGCCTCTCAGGTTAACTGATCTACCTTCTGCAAAGGAGCAGATGGGCTACGACCGACCATCCCCGAAGCTGTTGGCCTTCTTGCAGAAGCACCATGGGCTTTGCAAGCACAAGGCGGCGGGCAGTCGTTTCCTTGCCAGCTTTGCAGCAGTCTTTTTCGTCTCAGCCCCAAAACAACAACTTCGTGGTCTTCGATGCCTTCTGGGACGACGTCTTCAAGCTCTGACCTCATTCTTTGGGGTTGCAGCTTTCTCTAGGGCTTGTCAGCCAATTCTGAGGTCGGATGTGCGAGGGCGTTCTGGGTACACACCAGCAACTTGCAGGTGCCGGTGACTGGGGCAGCATGTGAAGGCTTGCCGCCTCTATTTTCATCGCAGGCAGAGCGCAAGCCACAGGCAGCACTCGGCGGGAAGAGGCGTCACAAGTCAGATAAGTCAGGATCTTAGCCAGCCAAGCCGGTCAGCAGTCCAGGGAGGGAGGCGCGTCGACGGATGCCTGGGATGTTCAGGTGAACGAAAGAATATCCTTTCCTCCGGAGCGGCCATGGACCATCAGCGGCATCGCCGAACGGTTCAGGCCTAAACCGGGGCCTTTCTGTCGGCTTCTCCAGCTCCGCCTTTCTTGGCCTCACACTCCCCTCGCGCAGCCAGGACGTAGAGTCACATTCCCCATCTCCAGGCTGCGCCGATCTTCTAGCATCCGGCGGACGGGAGAGGTGAGGAAATAAGTCGAGCCACTCTACGGTCTGCTCAAGTCTGGTGCGAGGTGGAAACTGCGAGAGCAAGCAGCTGCGCATTCGACCTCTGAGTCCCTCGGAGGACAGTTTCACCCGTTTCATCAGGAATGGTGTGACCCTTGCATGGTCCGCAGTAATTGGTGCAGTCTGAGGTAACTTGACCTGAGGCATGCGCTGCAAGTTAATACCGACAGCAAGCTCGCCAGCCACGGCTTCCCACACAGTCCATCTTCGCAAGAACGGTCCAAGGAAGACAGACAAAACAACTTTGTGGTGTCGTGATGCTGCCAGCTGTTCCCCAGCAGCTTAGTAGGCCTCCTTCAAGCTTGCTTCGCCTGCGCTGGCATAGCTACCACAGTCGAAAAACTGGAGCTGTGCCGGTACACAGGGTCGCCTCTTGCAGACCCGCATTCTGGCTTCAGAAGGCAGGGCATATTCTGAGCACCTGCCAGCCGACAGCATAGCATGACACGACTACACATCGCCGTTACATCGATCCTCGGGGCAACCACCGTCAAGGCAGCCGGTCTACACACTTTGCGGCAGTTTGTGGCAAGGTTAGTTCGTGGGGTGGGGGGGAGTTTGGTTTGCCCCCTCTCGGGCCGGGGTCTTCTTCATGCCCGCAGTCGCAAGCCGCTGTCTCGCAGTACCAGGTCTTTCTTTTCGGCGTTGTAGGTTCAGGGCCCCTGGTGTCGCTGTGCCACCTGCAGCGTGACAAACTTCGGCTCCAAGGTGAAGCGAGGGTGGGCAGGGTTGGAGGGTGACTCCTGGGAGCCATGGCGTTGTCTGCCGTCGGCAACTTGGGCACCTCTCCTCTGTCTTTGTGGATCCCTCGAGCAGATGCCTCTTCCGCTTTTGAGCCCAGCAGGGGAAGCTCGCATGATCCCAGCAGGGCAAGTGGCGAAAAGCGGAGGGAGTTGAGGGCAAGGACCCTCCTGGCGCCGCTGGGGATCTTATGCGCCTTGCGTCGTTGCAGGGCCCCGGCGGCGACGGCCCGGGACTTTCGGGTACGGTGCAAGGCCGCCGCAGAAGCGGGTGAAGGCGTGGCTCTCGAAGATTCCGCGTACCGAGCTGCAGCTGGTCTGTGCAGGGCTGGTTTGAAGTTTAGGGCTGTGTGAGTTTTGCCGGAATTCAATTCTGGGTTTCATGGGTTGTCAGGTTCAGAGAGCTAGGGCTGTCAGCATTTTGCGAGTCGAAGGTCTGTAGTTGAGGCCTATGGGTGAAAGGTTTACGCGCACCCGAAAGCCGACCCAGAGGACCAAGGGTACTTGCAAGTAGGGGTGAGCTGAAAGCTCCAAGGAAATTTGGATAGAAGACGATGGCGATAGCGGTGCAGGAGACTTTGCAGGTGGGAAAAACGGTCATGGAACCTTAATTCGAAACAGGTGCTGTAACTTTGATGGATCGAGCCGAACTTCGGGCCGATGAATTTCTCGATGAATAACAGAATGAATGAATGAACTGAATGGTTGGCTATGAGTGAATGAATGAATGAATGAGTGAGTGGGTGAGTGAATGAGTGAAGGAGTGAATGAGTGAATGCGAGAATGAGTGAATGAATGAATCAGTGAGATGAACGATGAACGAGCGAAAGGAAAGGACATGGCATGAACTATGTTGAGTTGAATAATGCACGACTGAACGAACGTCTTGAAGGAATGAGTCAAACTCTGCATGAAGGAACTAGTGAGAATTAGCAGGAACATGAATATGAATATGAGTTTACAAATGATTATGAACGGTTATGCGCATGAATGTAAGGATTTGAATATGCATGAATCACCTGACATGATCGACGGCATAGCACGGGACATGACATGACATGACGTGGCATGGCATGGCATGACATGAAACGGCGTTCTTAATCGTCACAAGATCAATAAACAGGAACTAAAGACAAGAAACAAACGAGCAAATGGATGGATGGATGGATGGAGGGAGGGAGGGAGGGAATGGATGGATGAATGGATGAATGGATGAGTGGATGAATGTATGAATGATGAATGGATGAATGGATGAATGAATGATCGCATGAATGAGTTAGAAAAGAAGGAGACTAGATAGATAAGTAAGTAAGTGAGCACGGAAGTAAGCAAGTACGTAAATGGCTAGTAGGTAAGTACGCTCGCTCGCTCGCTTGCTAGCGCTTGCTAGCTAACTGGAGGGCAAGCTAGCTAACTAACTAGCTCAATCAACAAGCCCATAAGCAAGTTAATAGACAGAAGAAGAAAACATTGCTACTCGCCCGCCCAGGCAACGCCGCGCGAGCGTCAATTCGGAATCTATGAGCCTCCAATCCGCAGAAGCTCCGCCAACAGATCGTCTCGTGCAGAGCCTGTTGAGCTGCCCCTTTCGCAGCTACACATCGTGGCAGCCCAGAGGCAGCTGACTCTCTCCAGCACTGATAGGTTCGTCATGCAGCTTGATCCTTGCTGGGCAGCAAAGATTCATGTCAAGCCAAGAAAGAAAGCAGGCAGGGAAGAAGTGTGAGAGAGAGAGAGATACAGATAGCGATAGGGATCGCTTTTCGGGAAGAAGCCCGGTTTGCAATGTTTGCATCTTGCTACTGGTCCACTTCTCATACGGCTAAAGGCCCAAACCGTCCTTGCATTGCATTGTTTCTGCCGACGGCTATCTTCGTTCTAACTGACGGACGGACGGTTCTTTCAGAGTGGGCATCGCAGCACGGAGCCACATCGAGCCAAGATCATGCAGGCTCGAGTAATTTGCTTTTTCACTTCCACCTTCTCACGAGCCGAGCACAAAGGCACGTTTTTGCGTTCTGTTCGGACAAACTGCATGGGTTGAGGAGGAACCGCTGGGATCTACACCTCACCAATGCATCCAATCTCCACTTACTTCTCCACCCTCGGGCACACCCTAAGGTTCTGAGAGGTCTGGCCCTCTGCGAGCTAAAAAGCTAGGCGGCCGTGCTTGAGGCTGTCTGGCTTGAGACGTGGCGGCTTAAGTAGGGAGCACTTTCGCAGCTCCATCAGCTGGTCTTGGCTCAGTGGCCATCCATTTCTTGTCCTGGGCCGTAATAGCGAGTCAGTTCTGTTCCCTCCATCGTTGTTCCTGTCATCAGCTGTCCCTGTGAGTTCACAAGGCGACCATAGTCGCATGCTCTTGATGATGGTAAGCAAGAAGGGTGGCCGGGAGAGAGAAAGAAAGAGAGAGAGAGAGAGAGGCGTTGATTATGCCAAGATATGCAGTCTTGACATTCCGCGACCCGGCCATGTTTCTGCAGCAGTGCGCGAGAGCGGCGGAGAGGGTCGTAGCGGATGTAGGACTCTCACGGCACTACACACGAACTTGAAAATGTCGCCGAAGTTTTCCCGACGCCTCCCTCCCGCATTGCGAATCACCGTCCAGGTTGAAATTTGCCTGCGTCAGCGTATATCGCCACGTGGTTGAGTGTTTCAATCGAAGCGTGAACCCCAGAGTGAACCAATGGAAACATGGTGATAAGAAAGCCCGCTGTCTAAGGTTTTGGGGATGAAGAGCGATGTTTCGCTGTAGGAACCAAGCACCCCTCGGAGTGAATATGAGGGAATCAGAGGGAGATCCAGCTTGTAAATGCAGCGTGGTACCGTTGTTGAACTTGTAAAGAGTTTGCATTTTTTTCCTGCATTTGGTGTGATGATTGGCTTTTCATGAGGGGCTAGTGTCCACAGGGGCATGATGAGGGCGGGATAACTAGCAGTCCGTGAGACTGTGTGTTGCGGGAGCTGAGGCCGTCGCTGCTGGAGGCGCATCCTCAAGCCGATGCCTCTGCCTGCGTCGCCGCGTGGTCCGAGCTGCTGCGCGTTTGCCAGCGTCGCGCACCGGAGTTGCTGGCGACCTGGAGCTCTGGCGTCGGCCCTCTGCTACGGTTCGCGGTGCTGATTCCACGTGAGCAGTGGCTCAGGGACCCAGCGGATTGGGTTGCGGGCGCAGAGCTGGGAGCAGAGGCAGATATGGCGGATATGGACGGCCCCGAGGGCCCCATGACTGGCGTCGAGGCCTTGCCAAAGCTTGAGAGCCTCCTGAGACATCTCATGACGAAGTATGATGATGCGCCAATGACGCTTGCCGGTGCCTTTACTTGGAGTGATGGTGCTGGCGGGACTCTACGAGAGCGTCCCGGGCGCGAGGTAGTGTTGTGCAGCGGAGCCGGCATTCAGCTGTGCACCCGCTTCGCGCTCCTGTTCGCAGAAGTTTGTAGAGGAGACCGGAAACCTGTTGCAGCCGCTCAAGACTTGCTCACACCCAATCTCTCCAAAAAGATGGTGAGCAGGTTTTTACAAAGCAGCGATTCCAAACTTCCGCCTCCACCCCCCGTGGAAGTGCCTGAGAGCGTGCGGCACGTGCAGCCCCTCTCCGTGGTCCTGGCGAGCCCCTTGCTGGCCTTGAGGCGCGCGCAGATGGAGACCCTTGGTGGCCCCGCTGTCTTTGCAGAGGCCCTGGCCAGAACACAGCTTGGCAAGGACGTGAGACCGTGAGACGTGAACTCCAAGCCTGAGCCCCAACCCTGAATTGAACTCCACAGCCCGAGGCCCACAAGCTGACCCGAGCGCTGAGTCTCCCTGTTTCGGGCCAGGATCTGGGCAGCGAAGAGGAGGAAGAGTTTGCTCTGAGCATCCTGTCGTGGGCTTGCCGCTTCGCGGAGGAGGAGGAGCTGCAGGACCCGAGCAAAGCAGCTCAGGCCGTCGAGTGGCTGCTTGCGCAACGCATGTTGGACCCGAAGTTTTCCCTGGTTGTTGCTGGCAACCCCCGGGCGCCCAAGAAAGTCTTGGAGGCTGCAAGAAAAGATGCAGCTACGCTCGAACTGCAGCGACTACAGATGAGTGGTCAGCGTTTCTTGCCGAACCCAGGCAAGATCAGAGGCTTCGTGAAGAAGGGAGTTCTGGCAGCCTTTGGATCGCCCTACAGCGAGGACTTTGCAGGTGGCAAAGTGCTGCCACAGGGACTCCGTGCGATGCTGGGCATGGACGGTACAAACTTCCGCGAGCCGGAGCCGCCGAACAGCTGGCACGGGGACACCTACGAGCCCTGCGCAGCCGAGCGGAGCTTCTTGCAGGATCCGAAGTTCCTGCGCAAGGCCACAGTCCGCATCGACGAGATCCTGAGCTTCGAGTACCTGCAGCATGTCGGTCAGACAATGAAGAATTGCCTTCGTGCCGAAAGGAGAGGCGGGATGAGCTTGATGAAGTATCTCAGCAGGGTTAAGGCCCGTGAGAGCAGCTTCTGGGTCATGACCATCACGGCGGAACCCACAGAAGAGGAAGAAGAGGCGCCGCTTCAGCACATGATGCTCATGGAGGCAAGGCGTGTTGAGATGTGTTGAGTGTTTTAAGTCCGATGGTTTGAATTCCGTCCTTTGCAGCGATGTGGGTGTGGAGGTTTACAACGGCCTGAACGTGATCCACCAAGCGGAGGGCCCGCATCCTCGGCGCTGGCCGCGAGCGGATGCCTGGACGTGGCTCCAGGAGTGGGCGGCGCAGGAGGGTCTGCGTCCGGACGGCCCTGAAGGTGTCACTGTCGGACCCTATGGGGCTTACGAAGGATCCATGGACAAGTGGGATATCAGGAGGTGCTTCCTGTGGTGAGCTCGGAGCTCCCCAAACTCCCCCTTTTGCAGCACATCCTCGCTGAAATGCGAAGCAATCTCAGCCTATCAGCACATGCATTCTGAGAGAGTAGGGTAAGATGTAGCGCGCTGAGATTCCTACATGTGTGTGCTGTTGTGCATAGACGTAGATGAGTGCCCACTCCGTGCATCCTTATCTTCCCGAGTCTCTTTGACTCATTGCAAGAGCTTTTCCACTTTGCACGGCTGCGTCAGTCGAACCCGAGACCGATCATACTGTACCGTGGGGGCAGAAAAGATCTGCACATTCCATGAATCAATATGTCGTCGAAGCTCAACCATGTCACGTCACTGTGCTGGCCACTCCAGCTCATTCCGGCTCCGGAGCTTTGAACCTTAAATGTCGGTGCGTTCTCTGCGGTGCCGATGCTTTGGCAGAAGCCTTGACTCCGGGTCCTGTTGCCGTGATCCATTGACGTGTTTCTCCCATGCTGAAGCACTGAGGACACCGCAGCAGCAGTGGAGCTACCCGGGTGTTTTGCTCCTGGGATCTATAGCAGTTGCATTGTCTGCGTGCCTCGGCGGCATGCTTTCGGACTGGCGGAAGCTCCCCCATTTGCTGTTTTAAGATCTGACTTCACAGAGCTTCCGCGTAGGCTTGCGGCCGCCTTGTGTCTGGCCATTTGGCGGAAGGGCTTGCTGGCTCTAGTGAGCAGCGAGGCCATGGCAGGTCACAATCAGACTCAACCTGCTTGATCGAAGACCTGTTGCACTCGCCAGGTGCCAGGCGTTCTCCGGCGCCCGCTGCCTCCTGACCGCGAGCATTCGGATGAGCGGCGTATTCCAGGGCTTCCTGGTAGCTGAGGTTCGATGTCCTTCAGGACATCACCAGGGCCGCGAAGCAGCGGATAATCAACATCACCCGCTTTTCCATGCTTCTCTTCTTCACTTTGGACGAGGAAGAGCAGAAGAGCATCCGTAGCGGCCTTGGGCCGGAGCTCCAAGATATGCTCTTCAGCGCCTGGGCTGGCGTTTCGAAGTGCAGCTTCGTGCACAGATGCTGCCCAGATGCTTTGCGGAGCTCCTTCCCGGCCCTTTTGTGGTCAGGACGGCCGCTTGCGCAGCTCCTGCCAAGCGCAGTGCGGCGATTTCTCTTCGGACCGCAGGATGCTGAGTCGGCCGCTGCCGGCGTGGGAGCCAAGACGCGTGTCCTTTGCACTGTATACAGGTAGAGCCGGTGGAGCTTTCAGAGGGGTTCCGAAAAGTGCGCTGGAAGGCCTTCAACGGCAGCTGACGCCGCGAGACACGCCGCGAGATGCACCTCCCAGGCTGGGTGCTCGAAATCGAGCCGACACTCAGCCCGCGGCTTGCTTGAACTCGAGATGCCTTGGGAAGTCCTGCGGGTGGTGTGGACTCTTCAGTGAGGTGCGGCCCAGTGTCGGGGCAAGGGACAACCTGAAGGGCGCAGAGCTAGAGGCAGTGCTGGCAGAATGGACCGTTGGGGCTGTCGGTGCGTATGTGACCTGGCTAGCATGGGCTCAAAAATCGAAGGAGGGGTTTGAAGGGACCATGGCTGTCCATGATTTGCCGGGTTGAGGTGAAGCTCCTCGGCATTGGCACTTGCCGACAGCTGCAGAACGTCCTTCGAAGATGGAGGATGGTCGCCCTTCGGCAAGTGGCCTTCTACGGTTCAAGCAGGATCAAAGCAGCTCTCCGCTCTCTGTGCTCTCTCCTCCTAGGCTCCAGAGACCGCGGCTCCGAAGTGGAGCCTCCAAGCGCTGAACGCGGCTCCCACGCTGCTGGGAGGCACCCTGCCGCTCGGACAAAAGAGCAGTGTTGACGTCTTTCCCCTGCGAGAGGGGCGGGCGGGGCGGGTGCGCCAAAGGATCAGCTTGGGCTGCGGAACCGTGGGCATGGCTGGTGGAGGCTCTTGGGAGTCTCTCAGGTTTCGCCAGAGGTTTAGCTTCATGTTAGTAAGTCTGCTTGAGGCTTTGTTGGTGCCATTTGTGGTCTCGTTCCTGCTCTACTGACCTTCGGTCTCTCCATTCCCATTGGAGCCATGATCGGAGGCTCGCTTCAACTGCTGTTCTCTGTCTCAGTGCATGGCCCCTTTGCGATAGGTCTGGTCGGATGGTTCTGTGGACTCGTGAGCGGCATCCTGCTCACGGTGTCAGTGCACGGCAAGACAGGAGGTTTTGGCGCGGCACATTCCAGACAAATTCTGGCTGCAAAGTGTTGCGTTGACTAGACTAGCCTGGGCAAGTTCAGCCCCTCAGTGGAGGCTGCAGGTCTTCCAAGGCAAGTGCCAGAGTCTGCTTCCAATTCATTTGCAAAGATGGGATTTTCGCTTGCTGAAGTCGCGGGCATGGTCTGGTAACATGCAGGTCCCCATCACAGACAAGCGTTGTTGTAGAATTCTGCAGCATGTTTGCGCTACAGGCTACTTGCCGAAGTCAGCCTGTGCAGGAACTAGGTCTTGCTGTCAAGCTCTGTGCGGCAGCGCGCCGCACAAGGCAAGCCCCTAGCTGGAAAGATCCAGCCGCTGAAGGCGTAGGAGGCATGTACATAAGGGCATCCCGCCCGCCTGATTCGTTTCGGTCCTGCGCCACCTGCTGAGTCCGTCTTCAGATCGTGCCGCGTGATATAAGTCAGCCTTGGCGATGCAACTTGCCGCCTGCAGTCCAAGATCTGAGAGCAGCTGAGAGAGCGGTTGCACGTGGTCAGAAGGCCGCCATTTCTGCCGTTTTGCGGTTTGCGCCGCAGTTTCACAAGTGGGTTAACAAAAAGCGGTGGACGACTGCACACCGCTGCTCAACACAGCCTCTGAACCATGTGTGCAAACGGGACGGTCCGCCACACGTGCACAAAGCAACTGCATCCTAGCCCTCGGGGTCCTCATGCATGAGACATGTCTGCCATAAGCCAGCGGCGACGGCTGCGACCCAGCAAAGCCACCGCCGCTGGCTGAAATTACGCTCCTTGTCGCATTCGCTGAGTCGCTGAGTGGGAGAGTCGCGGAGGTCCATCGGAGCAGCACGCGGCTGAAAGAAAGCAAAGGCGAGGAGAGACGCCGAGAGGGAGTGCGAGTAGCTTCTGCGTGGCTCCCCGACTAGGCAGACCTCTGCTGGGGCTCCAGGCTGTAGCGGCGGCTTCTCTTGCAGCCGCGATCCCGGCGGGTCGTCCGTTCTGTTTTTGAGCCGAGAAGAGAGAAAGATGAGGCCTGCTTGGCCGGCCTGGTGCTCCAGCCGAGGGCCTCGGATGAAACCGAAGCGAGCCGCTCCTCTCTTTGCCCCTCTCTCGCTCTCTCTCTTTCTTTCTCTCTCTCTCTCTCTCTCTCGCTCGTGTCTCTTTGTTTCTTTTCCATGAAAAAAGCCTCTCCGAGCAAGGCGGTGCTTGCAGTCGTTTCTGCTCCTCGAGGGGGCCCAGGCTGGGCCAAAGCACCCGCAATCGCGTGATGGGCCCCATGGCAGTGGCTTCCTTAGGGCTCAGGGTGAAGGGCAGGGTTTTGGGGCTTTCTCCGGCTTTAGGATTTATGTTGGATGGACTCTTTAACAACTCAAAAGCACACGTCCTGCACTCGCTGATAGGGCTGAGCCGACCAGGCTGCGCTGTAACGATGAGGGTCCCATGGTTCCGGAACAATGTTGAGTTGATGCCTCCAGATCCTGGCGGCAGCATTTGTGGTGCGAGCCGCTGCTTGCACACTTGAGGCTCGAAGCTGAGGCTGTTGCATCCTTCGAGTCTCGCGGGAGATGGGGCACACTGTGGAATCGCTTCTTGCCGCGAGGTCAGCGCGGCCCTGGGAGAGCTCTAGACTCAGCATGCCCAGATATTTCGAGTGGGGCTCAATGATGCAGCGAAGCTGTCTTGATCCGAGGAGAACCCAATGTACGAAGACCATGTGCCTGCGTCAGTTTCGGCAAGGCAGGGGGAGTGGGAGTTGGAGGTGGCAGGCTCTGGAGGCTTTGCAGTTCGGTGCTCTGTCCAGGCATCAAGAGATCTGCAGACAATAACAAAAAGGCCGAGGCCCGTGTTGTCTGAAAGGTGAAGCTTGTTGCTCCTATTCCGGCCGCAGAAGGAGCTAAATGGGGAGCCACGCAAGCGCCGGCGCAGGTGACGTTCCCTCAATTCAGCTTTTGCAGCTGGCGTGCATGATGTGCTGTTAGCACTACTGGAGCTGGTGGGGTGCCTCATGGAAGCTGGTCGATGGAGCTTGCGAAACAGAGCAACGGCATCAGTTGAGTGATGGGCACTTGCATGTGCAGGAGTGTTGTGTGCTGCAGCGTTTTCACCTTGGTAGTGAGATAATATGATGCATCTCACAAGCATCGAACCAAGATATTATGACATCAGACTGTCTGCCGAATGCACCATGAACGGTTAAGCTTCTCAAAGGTCTGATCACTCAGTGAGTTGCGTTCCATGAAGCTCAGCAATGGCCAAGTGCGAACAACACCATTTCAACCTGCGTGGGTTGATGGGCGGGCAGAGAACAAGCCGACTAAGCAGCTCAGAGCATGTCCTATGTAGGAAGGAAGGGAGGGCGCACCAAGACTTGCGTGAAAGCGATGCTGACGATCAGTCCATCAAGTGGCATGCAGGATCGACGGCAGTCGACGCTCAAGCAGAATTAGAGCTCGCATGCACGCAGCTGTACTGCGAAGATGTAGCTGCGTTCGAGAGTTTTGCTGATGGTCTTCCTTCGACACAGGCCTATGGGCTTGGGGACAGCCAAGACCAGGCTGAAGGAGAAGCCCAAAGCCCGAGAAAAAAGAGTGATGAAGATACAACGACAGCAAGCACGACGCCATTTCTTTCAAGCTCTCATTCTCAGCCCTTGGCTGCACATCATGGACGGCATGTCGACGAGTATGCTTGTACCCAAGCTTACAATGGCGAAAGTGACGATGAGGACATAACTGCCGAGCTCTTGCAATCTGGCAGGCAGGAGCAGCAGACGGAGCTGCGCGACACAGCGCCAGTGCCCAACCTCCCAAGTGGCGGGTCCGTCCAGCAACCTGCAATGAGCGAAGGCAACGCAGACAGTGGGGGCCTTGCTGCGGGCATGGCAGATGTTTCTGTGGCAGCCCCCTCTGCAGTTTCTGATGAGTTGGCGTGTACCTTGCAGTACGAGATCCGCGACGGCGTTGAACAAGTTGAGCCGCCAAGCAATGCAGAGGCACCTGCAGCGAACCCTGTCACGACAAGCTGTGCGGAGATGCGGCCTCCTCGGCTTTGCAACGATCTGGCTTGTACCCAAGCTTACAATGGCGAAAGTGACGATGAGGACATAACTGCCGAGCTCTTGCAATCTGGCAGGCAGGAGCAGCAGACGGAGCTGCGCGACACAGCGCCAGTGCCCAACCTCCCAAGCGGTGGGTCCGTCCAGCAACCTGCAATGAGCGAAGGCAACGCAGACAGTGGGCGCCTTGCTGCGTGCATGGCAGATGTTTCTGTGGCAGCCCCCTCTGCAATTTCTGATGAGTTGGCGTGTACGTTGCAGTACGAGATCCGCGACGGCGTTGAAGAAGTTGGGCCGCCAAGCAATGCAGAAGCACCTGCAGCGAACCCTGTCACGACAAGCTGTGCGGAGATGCGGCCTCCTCGGCTTTGCAACGATCTGGCTTGTACCCAAGCTTACAATGGCGAAAGTGACGATGAGGACATAACTGCCGAGCTCTTGCAATCTGGCAGGCAGGAGCAGCAGACGGAGCTGCGCGACACAGCGCCAGTGCCCAACCTCCCAAGCGGTGGGTCCGTCCAGCAACCTGCAATGAGCGAAGGCAACGCAGACAGTGGGGGCCTTGCTGCGTGCATGGCAGATGTTTCTGTGGCAGCCCCCTCTGCAGTTTCTGATGAGTTGGCGTGTACTTTGCAGTACGAGATCCGCGACGGCGTTGAAGAAGTTGGGCCGCCAAGCAATGCAGAAGCACCTGCAGCGAACCCTGTCACGACAAGCTGTGCGGAGATGCGGTCTCCTCGGCTTTGCAACGATCTGGCTTGTACCCAAGCTTACAATGGCGAAAGTGACGATGAGGACATAACTGCCGAGCTCTTGCAATCTGGCAGGCAGGAGCAGCAGACGGAGCTGCGCGACACAGCGCCAGTGCCCAACCTCCCAAGCGGTGGGTCCGTCCAGCAACCTGCAATGAGCGAAGGCAACGCAGACAGTGGGCGCCTTGCTGCGTGTATGGCAGATGTTTCTGTGGCAGCCCCCTCTGCAGTTTCTGATGAGTTGGCGTGTACTTTGCAGTACGAGATCCGCGACGGCGTTGAAAAAGTTGGGCCGCCAAGCAATGCAGAAGCACCTGCAACGAACCCTGTCACGACAAGCTGTGCGGAGATGCGGCCTCCTCGGCTTTGCAACGATCTGGCTTGTACCCAAGCTTACAATGGCGAAAGTGACGATGAGGACATAACTGCCGAGCTCTTGCAATCTGGCAGGCAGGAGCAGCAGACGGAGCTGCGCGACACAGCGCCAGTGCCCAACCTCCCAAGCGGTGGGTCCGTCCAGCAACCTGCAATGAGCGAAGGCAACGCATACAGTGGGGGCCTTGCTGCGGGCATGGCAGATGTTTCTGTGGCAGCCCCCTCTGCAGTTTCTGATGAGTTGGCGCGTACTTTGCAGTACGAGATCCGCGACGGCGTTGAAGAAGTTGGGCCGCCAAGCAGTGCAGAAGCACCTGCAGCGAACCCTGTCACGACAAGCTGTGCGGAGATGCGGCCTCCTCGGCTTTGCAACGATCTGGCTTGTACCCAAGCTTACAATGGCGAAAGTGACGATGAGGACATAACTGCCGAGCTCTTGCAATCTGGCAGGCAGGAGCAGCAGACGGAGCTGCGCGACACAGCGCCAGTGCCCAACCTCCCAAGCGGCGGGTCCGTCCAGCAACCTGCAATAAGCGAAGGCAACGCAGACAGTGGGCGCCTTGCTGCGTGCATGGCAGATGTTTCTGTGGCAGCCCCCTCCGCAGTTTCTGATGAGTTGACGTGTACTTTGCAGTACGAGATCCGCGACGGCATTGAAGCAGTTGGGCCGCCAAGCAATGCAGAAGCGCCTGCAGCGAACCCTGTCACGACAAGCTGTGCGGAGATGCGGCCTCCTCGGCTTTGCAACGATCTGGCTGGTACCCAAGCTTACAATGGCGAAAGTGACGATGAGGACATAACTGCCGAGCTCTTGCAATCTGGCAAGCAGGAGCAGCAGACGGAGCTGCGCGACACAGCGCCAGTGCCCAACCTCCCAAGTGGCGGGTCCGTCCAGCAACCTGCAATGAGCGAAGGCAACGCAGACAATGGGGGCCTTGCTGCGGGCATTGCAGATGTTTCTGTGGCAGCTCCCTCTGCAGTTTCTCATGAGTTGGCGTGTACATTACACCGCGAGATTGACGAGGGTGGTTTCGGTGTTGGTTCAGGTCAGCAGTATCCTGGTGATGTTGTGCATGTTCAGCCCCTGGAACGAGGATGCACAGGTGTTCGACGCGAAAGGAAGAGCGCCGCAAGTGACGAACCGCAGCATCGTGCACCGAACAGTTCCAGCAGGTACCGACCCCGCATGATTTCCGTGATGGTGCAGACAGGAGAGGATGACACTCGAGCGCATGTCGACTCGAAAGAGGAGCCCCGCAAGGCAAGACCCGCGGCCAAGAAACCACAACCTCCTCCACGATTGAGCCTACTAATCCCGAAGAGGCCTCGTGACGAAACTGTTGAACCGGTGGATGTGGATGCCTATTCTGCAGCCTGTCATGCCCTGTGGGGTGGGCGCACCCCACAGAAGGTTGCGGCACCTTCGCTGCAAGATTTCCTGGCTGCCAAGCAGGAGGAGGCTGAGGAAAATTGCGAACCGCCCCCAGGTACTCTGGCGCTCGTGGGCCTGTCGCCGCGATCAGAGCTCTCGCGCTTCGATGTGCACGGAAGCCAAGCTGACTTGGTGAAGAAGGAGGCACTCTCAGCAAAGCGCGTGCCGAACACTTCACTGCCTGGGAGCCCAGAACGCTCCAACGAGGGATCAGATGCAGAGCACCGGCTTTCCGAGCCACTCTGGAAGCAAGAGAGGTCGCAGAGGCTGGGCTGCCAGTCTTCTGAGATCCCTTCACTCGTCAAGCGCCCAAGTACACGGCGAACCCTCGATTTCGGCAGCCTGTCTCCGCCAAAACACCATGGAGATCACACTCACACTGTGGCCGTGCCTGCGTGGCTGCAGCAAATCCACGCCGTCAAGCGAGGGCCTCCGCAGAGCCTGGCCGTGGCCACGACGGAAGTCGAGCCTGTGAAGGGCTTGCAGGCAGAGATCCTACCGACTCCCTGCCGCAGGGGCCGGGGCCCCCGGCTGAACTCGAGATGTGAGCCGTCGCCGTCCGAGTCCGAGTCGGAGTCGCCGCCCCCGCAGGAAGCGCCGCCCACCGGCTCCACGGCCAACGAAGGCTCCGACTCTCCTTCGGCTTCGGCGGCATCGACGGCGCCCGCCACGCCCACCGCGTCGCCCACCGCGTCGCCTTCGCCAAGAGCACGCGGCACGGTCACCGCAGTCACCGAGCAGGCAGACGTACAGGCTTCGCAGTGCTCGGAAGCTCTCGAGCCCTTGGCTGCACCGGTCGAGACCATGGAAGTTTCCGCACCTTCGCCGGGTGAGGCGACGGCCGAGGAGGCCTGCGATCGACTCTCCTCCACCGAGTGCAGAGCTGAAGCCGATGCTGATGATGCCGATGACGCCGGCATCGGCTCTGGCCTTAGCCAATTTTGCTTTGCGAAGACCACCCAAGAGGAGGAGAGAGCTCGCCGCGAAGCAAACGGCGCGACAGGGAGTCCGCAGAGTCCCTCCGGGGGTGTGACCGACGCAAGTGCTCCCAGTGCTCCCGCCCCCGTCGACCTGAGCCAATTCGCCTTCGTGGAAACGGCCAAAACCATGGCCACGGTGCCCGAAGATTCGGCCGCTCCCAAGCTGGCGCCCCCGCCCTGCGCCTCCGCGGAAGCAGAGCCGCCCACGCTCAGCGGCAGCTCCAGCCTCAGCGTGCCGGGAGCTCGGAGTCTTAGGTTTTTTTTAAGCTCGTGTTTCTCCTCCCACGTGCACGCAACCATCTGTCTTTGAGGATCCCAGTGAGCTTGAGCCAAGAGCCTCCGAAAGAGGCCTGGCCTTATGCAAGGCGAGGGAGAGACGCGTGGAAGTTGCAGCTCAGGTGAAGCGAACGGCAGCCAAGAGCCGTGCGAAGTCAAGGCCAGACTGGACTCGTGTTTCGAACGCTGCTCACTTAAGCTGCACAGGACGAAGACCAGTGTTCCCCCGCATTGGCAGAGGCAGGTTCAGACTGCTTGGCTGCTCCACGTCTGCTCAAATCATATGTTGTGATGTCGCCGCAAATCTCGGGCCTCTTTGAGTGATATCCCCATGAAGGCATGAATAACACAGGACCCAGATGGACATGCTTAGTGATTTCAATGGGCCTCAATAGGAGACCAATCCTGAGTTCCACGGAGCAAAACTGCTGCCTGGAGTGGGGCAGTTCTCACAAAGCACACAAAAGCAAGGCATGCACAGAAGCCAGCGCGGTGCCGCCGTGCAGTTTTGTTGGCAGGCAGCACCAGACAGCACTCCAGACCACCAGCACCATGCGGCAGCGAGACAGCACGAAGATGGACACAAACGCAGATTGCACTCGTACGCCGGTCAGGGAGAAGGTGAGTGGAAGACCAGGCTATCGTCCTTCGATAAGAAATAGACACGCTCGTTGTCGGACGAGAGACAGAAGTCACCGCAGTTTGTCATTTTGGCTCACAAGGTCACGTCCTGATACTGATGCAAACATGTGGGAGTGTGTGGATGCCCGACTCTGTTGATGGCAGAGGTGGCAGATGCCCGCGTGTTGCGCACCTTCAATGCCGCCGTTATCAGTGGTGTGGCAGGAGGGTGTGCGCAGGTAATGTACGTCTTTCCCTTGATGTGGCTGCGGACCATCATGGAGTACCAATACAAAAATGGTGAGGGCACCGTCAAGGTCGCGCGAACTCTGTATCGCGAAGGTGGAGTTGCTCGGTTTTACCGAGGCTTGATGCTGCTGGGCGGCACCACTCTGGCAGGGCTGGCAGGGTCGCCATCTCCTTCGTGTTGGGACGGGTTCAGCGCTGAGGCCGGCGCTGATTCTGGCCCCCACAGCAAGATTTGGAGATACCGCACCTCGGACGCACCGCGCTTGAATGCACCGGGAGAGATTCCACATGCGTGAGGCGGCGAACGAGCTAGCGCTCTCGAGCACCTCGGCCCCGCAATTGGAGCGCAGAAGCAGCGTCCGCGAATCATCGGTCGCCACTTTTCTCTCAGAGATGCGCTCTCTCTGCAAGTGCAGCGTGGCGCAGCCGCTGCCGCCATGCGCTGCCTGAGGCCTGGCGAGAGTGGAGATGCCCTTGGCGCTGAAGACGCTCTGTGTCTTGGCATGGAGCACCCTCGTTCAACAGTAGAAGTACCAGTAGTCGTCGTAGTGGTACTGGCATTGGTAGTGGTAGTGCTTCGGGGGCCAGGCTTCGCTAGAGAAGTCCTTGCCCTGTTAGGCGCTTCCGTGACTGCGGCCACTTTTCGCGTGGTCATTCTGCCTTTGGATGCATGGAAGGCGGAAGGCTCAGACGTGGCTCCATTGGTGCTAACATTCGCAGAAGTTTTCTGCTCACGTGAGCATACGGGAAGAGTTGAATGTGCATTCAGGTGAACAAGCAGGTTCACGGCAAGGCGCATGATGTTTGTCTATCCAGAGCAGCACAGCCTGTTTTCGGTTGTCGATAAAGCAAGGCCGGTTTGCAGTATCTCGTGCGCAAGGCCCTGGCCAAAGCTGGTTGCTGTTCGCCTTGTTGGGGATTCTTCTCCTGAATCTTGTGCGTCAGGCGACTGTGAACCCCTTGTCACTTTGGCATGGTGGCTTGGGTGTGTTGGTTACAGGAGCCTTCGGGCACTACCCGTCCCTTGGCATATCGTTGCACCGTCTTACATCTGCTTCAAGGTGCTGCTAGGTGGTCCAGCTTGGAATGCAAGACAGGCCGACGGACCAAGGTGGTTCTATACGAATAACCTGCTTCGCGAAATTCTTCCTCCATTCGAGATGAGGCTGATCTGCTTTAACCTTTAGTTCTCCGGTTGCTTGCGCCGGCCGCTAGTAGCCTGCAGACGCACAACTGGTGTCTGTGCCTCCTTCACTCGTTGCCAACGTGTTGGCACAGCGAGGTACGGGAAGCACGTCCGGCATGCCTTCATCGGCTTCACCTCATCGGTGGTGGCCGATACAATCTGTAACCCCATCCGAGTCTTGAAGGTAAATCGACAGACGTCACTGAGCCGTATCAGCCCCTTGGCTCGCAAGATGTCCGTGGCGAGCATCCTTGGCAAACGACGTAGTGGAAACGTGCCTTTGAATGTCACCGAGCCATAGAGCGCAGAGTTTCAAGGTTACCTCGAAGCAGCAGCCTGCCTGTATTCGGACTTGCTCACTTCTTGCAGTTGCTTGACAGTCTTCTCTGTTGATGTTTTGGTCAGGCCCATGGCATTATTCAAAAGGAGGGTTTGATGGGACTCTGGTCCCGTGGCCTTAAGACTCGCATTTTCGCCAACGGAGACACGGCTGCAAGAAGGCTAAAGCGAAACGTGCTGCGTACTCTTCGAGCATCGACCTGCGACCCAGGCGTGCAGGGCTCGCTTTTCACTGTGGGCTGGAGATATTTCTCCGAAGTGCTCAGCGGCGGGCTGACGACCTAGCGATTGCGGTGAAGTGCGCAGGTCAATGCTCGCATTCCTGAGCCGTTCCACCGTCCCGAATGTTGGACAAGAGCAGGGGCAGCACAGAGCGCTGGAGGACTCACTGAAGGAGTGGCTTCCGACGGCAGAGGAAGAAGCTCTGGTGCGAGCTCTTGAGGCTGCGGTCAGGCGAGGGGAGGCCCCGACCTTGGGGCTCTGCTTCGGGACGGTCTGGGAGGGCCGGAGCTCAACGGCTTGCGTGTGGACGTCTCCCTACAGTGAAGGCTTCGAGGCCCGAGAGAGCGATCTCGTGGCAAGCGCGATGCTGCGTGCAGCATGCAAAAGCAAAAAGGGAGCGTAAGAGAGTCACTGCGAAAGCGAGCACTTGGCAGCACGCAATTGCAGGCCGCTTCCCGCCGAGCTGGGAGGCCCCGTGGCTCTGACGCCCGCAGAAGGCCCGGCAGAGCGCCTCGTGGCTTCGAGGGTCGGGTCTGGACTTCGACTTCTTCAGGTCCAGCCCGCACCGCCCCGTCGCCCGAAGCCGAGGAGGTCAAGAAGAAAGGCACACCGTCGCACCGTGCGCCTGCCACTGAGTCACAGAGTGAGGAGCGTGCATGGCCAGGCAAGCAGGGTCGGCATGCGGACTCGGAAGCACGGAACCCGGCACTCCGTGTTGTTGCAACTCGGCTGGAGAAGACCGCGCATTTCTTCAAGGTTTCAGCCAGTATGCTGGAAGTGCGAAGGCAGGATGTTGACAATATTGAATCAAGAGAGGACTTTGTGCGCTTCAGGGCAATCAGCGACGACGATTCGGATGCTCCTTTGGCAAAGCGCATCCGACGCCGTGCGACAGCGCCAGCGAGGCCGGACTTGGCCGGACGCGGCACCGCTGCTTCGGTCTTTCGGAAATTGCAGGCTGACCCCAGGGAAGGCGCCGAAGGCGTGGAAGTTGTGAAGAAGACGAAGAACTCTGCAAGCTGAGCCCTAAACCCTGCTTAGGCCAAAGCCCGGGCGGGAGCTGCAGCGGTTCCGTCAGCCAGGCACGGAGGGGGGGGGGGTGCTTCCGTTTCCCCTCACCCTTCAAGGATCTTTCTTCCGAGGCCGACGGCCGCTGCTTCACAGGCCAACCTCGAGGGTGAGGTGGGGGATGGAGGATGGTGAGGGGATCTGGAATCTCATGGAATCTGATGCGCACGAGCTCGCCGCCCCAGTCCAAAGCTCCGGAGCAGTCGAAGAAGAGGGCGGCACCCTCGAGACAGGAGCAACGAGATTCCTTTTGGAGATCTCTATCTCAGAAGTGCAGAGGAGCCCTCCAACAAATGTCGAAAGGCTGCTGCGTCCAAGGAGGGGCCCCAGCGAGAGTCGAGAGGTTTCTGAGTTGAGATGTCGTGCAGGAGACCGCGAAACCGAAGGCTTCGAGGCCCTGGGCATCCGCAGGTCCAGCGTCGCGTGTCGCCTCACCGCAACTCAGCCAGGGCTCTGAAGGACACGGCCTTCGCGAACCCAGCGGAAGCGGCGGTGGCGGCCGCCAACGGCCGACCTGTCTTTGCCACTTGGTGCTCGAAGCATTCGCCTTTTCGGTCACTCGCAGCATCGCCTCCTTGAGGCAACCACGGGTCTTGAGCTCTCAACCAGGCTCGTCAGATCTTCCATCTTCCCAGTGTTAAGTCTTTCGTGCCTCTGCTTTCAGATGTCTGACCCCTGGAGGCAGCAAAAGTTCCTGCTCGATCTGCAGGGACTGATGGTGAGAAGCTTAGCTGCTGATATGCTGCCTTTAGAGGCTTGCCGTGTGCACCTCGCAAACACAACTGGACATTCAGGTTGCAGAGTGGAATCCCCATGTCTCGCCGCCTGGCGATCCTTAAGTCCGCCTTGTGTTATGGAGCTTTGGAGTGTCAGAGTGGTCGAGGCACCTGATCGCGGACACCTTCCGACGGACGACGAAGGCTTTGGGTTGTCGAATTGTTGATCCTACTCCTACTTGCTGCCGGCAATTACCGACAAGGACAGAAACGACCACAACGACGCCCACTGAAAGTTAGCGTTGGCTTTGCCATTGCCTTCAAGCCGGTGCTGGTGATGCTGCTGCCATCATTTCTATGGACCGCTATTGCTGCTGTTGTTGCTGCTGGTTGCGCCGTCTCCTGGTAATCTACATTTTATTGCTTATTCATGTTGTGCTGTTTCCCTTCCTGTATCGTGGTCAAAATCTCAACGGTATTTGACTTCAGTAGTCGTTTGATTGTCGTGATTCCATGTACTCTTGTTACCACGCTATCCGGACTTTGCGGCGCTGGTGCTGATGTTGATGGCGGAAATGATGATTTTAATCTTCGGGTCGTTCGACGCTTGTCCTTAACTCCATGTTGTCGCTTCTCCCTTTTTCTCCCGAGCCTGTGACTTGAGCTTGTTGCTCAGCCCTGGCTTCAGAGGCTGACGACACGTGTGGGTTGCGCAGTCTGGTTCTTTTCCTGCTGATTGGGTTTTGCTTGAGCTGTACTGCCTGGATTATCACATTTCGCATCCCGCACAACTACTTGGCGGCTGCTCGGTTGCTGGTGCCGCCTTTCTTTTTTCTGGAACTGTCGTAAGCCCAGTCTGCAGCACGATTACTTGCTTGCTACTACTGTGCTGCTATTGATGCTTGCAATGCTTTTTGGAAGGATCTTGCAAATTATACAGATGCCCATCTCGTTAATCTTGGCCAGATGATGTGCGCCATCTGCTCTGGCGCACACATCCTTTCGACAGAATATGTCTCGCCGGCATGTCAACCTGTTTATGTGCATGTAGGCTTCATCGAAACTCTGAGTATTTTCATCGCTTCCGTGGTCTTATTATGGCAGTCTTGATGATAGTGTAATAGCAGAACATGACAGTAATGATGCGAAAGACGAGCATAACCAGTTTTCGCAACGATATCAATGTGCGAAAGGCATGGGTTCATTGTTCGTTTGTACGCCGCAAGAGATTGAACATGCACCACGAGAAGTAGCTTGTGATTGTGGCGAGGTAGCAGCAGCAAACATGTGATCATAACCATGTTCGCATGAGCCATAGCAAGTTGAGGGCAACATGTAGCAAAATCGTGCGTGGAAAGCAGCAAGTAGTACACTCACTCGCTTGAAATGGTCAAACCCAAGCGCCAATAGTCGTTGAAAAGGCCTTCAACAAAACGAAGAGTCTTGGTATCCCCAGACCTGAACATCCAGGGGGAGAGGACTCTGTTCGTTTGGTGAGTGGTCTAGGCATGGGTTCATGGCAGGTGAAGGCCTGCCGCGAGGCCTCCGTCAGTGTGTTGGGAGTTTATTCGAAAAGACGTTAGAGGAGGCTTATGCCAATCGTAGGGATCTGAGGGCATTGTCATGCTCTTGCAAGGGATTCACGAGAGTCTTGTAAGATGCCCAGTGCCAAATTCTGGTTTGGATTGTTCTGCTATAGCCGAGTGTAGGCGGGTCTCGTTTAGGATTTGCTCTCCGTGACCGGTCAAAGGACTAAGGATTCTAGCAATTTTGTATTGAGCAGTGTGCGGTTTCTCGCTGAGTCAACCTTCCAGGTCCTTAGCAGCTGTTAATTTCGTTAACGGCTCTCATGCAACGGTTTCGCTTCGGCTAAACGTCCTCCGAGGGACATGATGGTTGTATTTGAAAGGGCCGTTGCTCCGCGTGTATGTGCCTAACCAGGCTGGCCGGCTCGTGGACGAAGCTGCATTTCTTCTCAAGGACACCAAGTTCGGTTCCGGCTTTCTCCTCTCAGAGAGCTCGTGCAGGATGAGGTGTGCGAAGCCGCCTTCGCGCGGAAGAGGGGGATCTCACAAGGCTCCCGGTCATTTGCATCCTGCAATCGCCCGAGATTCGGCATGAAAGCGGCATGTCAATGGGTGCTATCATCGCCATCTTCGCCGCTATGTAGGCCTACCTACCTGTCTGCATCGTGTCTGCATGACTTGCCTCTTTGCTGTAGTTTTCTGTTCGCTAGTGTTTCCGATGTTTTGGCTCCTCCTCTTCTCCTTAGTCTTCGGGCTTGCTTGAATAATGCGTACTATGTTTTGCTGTTGCCTCTCCCGTGGTAAGGTAGGCTGTTTTGTTTTGAGATCGCTTCTCGCATAGAGAAGCTTTGTGCACGAGGTGCATGTAATTTTGCCATTGTCGGTGTGACCAATGTCACGGACCTGCTTCTAGGATCATGCATTTTGTGTGTGCCCAGCCCTCCGTGCGTGAATCCTTTTGATGACTAGTTTTGTGCTGGAGCTTGGATGTCACTACTCTTGGGGGAGGAGGACCACTTTGTGTTTCGGTACCAACTCAAACATCAAGCCGAGTCCAAGCTCAGCCAACCCGTGAACTCAAATCCATTCGGTCTTGCACTGCATGCTGCCTTTTTGGCCTTGCCCGCCTTCTTGCGTAGCTCCTTGTGTTGGAAGGGCGGGCCGCAGTGCTGCAACCATAGCTCCCTACATGACAACGCCGCAGCATCGGATCCGCTTCTCTATCAGCATTGCTCAGAAGGCTGCATTGCTCCGCTGAATCCGATGCCCTTTGAAGCGCTTCCCCTATAAATGCTTTCACAAAGACAACGTAAGAACTGCACGGAGTACTGCAAAGACAAACCTGCATGTTTTTGGCTTGTTTACTTCCCTTGAAATCTGTGCTTGTGCATTTGCCATGCTCGGAATAGTGTTAAGCAACACCTCCATGGCAGACTCAGATATCTGGCCTAGGCCGAATTGGTATGCATGCAACCATGGATCTACAGGATACTCCCTGGCGGCAGCTCTTGAGCGTGCACGGCAGAATGGCCCTCTACTGCAGGGGATGTCGGCAGCGGGCCAAGACTCAGACCTTGATGTCAGCGCTTTCGCTCTGATGATGCCCCGCCCCCGTGTTGGACTGATGCGCGAAGGTCTACTGCTTCCCATCTGTAGGGGAAAAGCGTGAGCTACCGATGTTGGTTGCTGCTGCGGGAGGAACATGGTGGCTGCCTCAGATTGGAAGCTCGCTGCATCCAGACGGCTCGCGGATCAGCTGTGCAACAGGCTGAAGCGCTTCCCTTTGCAGCCGGCGTGCACTTCCGTTCCCGTCTCAACAAGCTTTTTCAGAGAGTTGCAGACTCTCCAAGACATGACAAGACCGCTCGAGGTGCTGCTCCTCGCCGAGCGCTGCGTCAGCAGCGCCCGGTGCCCGTTGCGTTTCTCTTCCGTGCAGGGAAGTCGCAGGGAGAGCCATGTCGACCTGAGGAGAGGGAGCAGCAGCGGCGTCGTGTCTACGAGGTGTACGATGTGGAGCTACTTCGTGAGGTGAGAAACCGCAGTCTGGTGTGGTTTCTGTCGAATTCTGTCGGTGCCGAGGCCGCATGTACACAGGAACTTCGACGATCAGCATATCGACTCCAGTGACACTGCCGCTGCAGGACCAATTCGGAAATTCGTAATTCAGGACTTGTGGCGATGCCACTCGAGGTTCGCTTGCATGGTAGTTTTTTTCATGCTCGAGCTGGAAGCCAGAGCCATGCTTCTCCTCCTCCGCGCTGCGAAAGCTGGACTGGTGACCTCTGCTAGTCTCGATGAAAGGCGCAGCTCGCTTCCCGCTGGAGTTGTGGGGCCCTGTGTTGAAGTGCACGTCAAGCCGCGAGCCCTTGAGTTGTGGCGCCTTCGCCCGCAGCCGCAGGGTTTGATTGCCGGCTGTCCCGCCGTAGAGGACATAGGACCTTAGAACATGTTCACGAGCTGCTGCGACTCCTACAGGCCACTGAACGACAGCCGACAGCTTGTTCAAGGAGCGGCGAAGGGAGCGGGAGCGAAGCCTGAAGCACACTCGGTCTCTCTCTCTCTCTCTCTCTCTCTGTCTCCCTTTGTCTCTCCCTTCGTCTTTATGTGTCTGTCTCTCTCTCTCTCTCTCTCTCTCTCTCTCACTTTCTCTCTATCTCTCTCTGTGATCTCTCAGTCCTTCTTCCCCGGTCCTATGCTTCCGAGGCTCTTTGTCGACGACATCCAGTGGAAGGTTGAAACGCACGCGCACAGATGCCGACACCGGCCGTTGTCAGCTTTTTGGGCTAGGATGCCGTCTACGAGTGCTTCGAAACGAGAGGGGTCAGCGTCCAACGAACACGCAGCCAAGGACATTGTGCAGTTTACGACTGCGTGCCTTCGACGCAAATCTAGAATATGCTGTCTGCGCAACTTGCAACGGAACATGATGGTTTTCTGGTCGCCGAGGATCTACTATGCCGAAGAAGATGAGGGGCGGTTGACAGTGGACATCATGCGATTAGGATCGATGAAAGGTTCTATCAAAGTCCGCTACACGACAGCTGCTTGGCTTTGGCATGTAGCAGAAGGCTGCATGAAGTAGATGAGCACGCTGATGGTGACACACTAAGCCCTAAACCCATTGTGTCCTCAGCCCGCGACCAGGAAGATGGTTCTGCCAAAGCAGGCGTTTCGTATGAGGAGACGTTTGGGGAGGTGATCTTCGCGGATCAGGAGAATCCTGGATGCATCCGGTCGGTTCTGCATGGAGCTGCCTTCGCGATCATCTGGCACCTTTTGAGGTATCGACAGTCCATCGACATCAACATGATCGCAAGTCAATACTGGACCGCCACGATGGAATTCAAGGCGCATGGGATGACGGGCGGGGCTGGAGGGATAGTCATCGAAAGACAGGTGCGCCTGCTTGATCCGGACGGCTGCAATCTGGGCTTTCGCCTCAGAGAGTGGCTGAGCTCTTGGCTGAGCTGCCGGAGCTGCCGGAGTCCCCGAGCCCGAGCCGCAGGCAATCACTTGCACACCTGCCGGGTGAAAATCATTGACACCGACACCTTTCCCTCGAGCAAGTACGAGGATCAGCTCAAGATTCTTGTAAGCAGAAGACAGAAGATATTGTTTTTTTCTGTGTGTTCCATGCAAGTCTAGCACAGCTTCTACAACTTGACCCTAGGATGGGTGATGAGGGACTTGATCAAATCAGCACCTTGGCTTCAGGCACAGTCCTAGACATGTTCGCAAGGCTTGCCGTCTCAGTCACCTGGGAGGTGTCTGAACAGGCCAAATCGATTCTCAGAAATCCAAAGCCTCAATCCTGTGCAGGTCTGTCCCAGGGCTTTTGTATACAGAGAGAGAGGAAAATGCAAAAGAAGATCACGGAGCGCGCGCTCAGCAAAGCAAGCTTGTCTTGGAAAGGCTGTGAACAGCGTGAGGACCACAAGCAGTGACTATTTCCACTGCGATTTTCCAGCGACCCAGGTACTCACCACACCTGGACGTAGCCTCGCTTGGTTTAGCGCCTCTTCACTGGACAATACATCAAGCTGCGGGCTTGATCAAAAAACTGCTGGGGTAATCAAGCTGGTGTTTCAGACAACAAGTTCAGCAGCACCACTAACAATATTGATAAATGCTTTTCACACCCTGACATGGTTGCTAAGAATGTGTTCGTTGCATTATCGAGTGCTGGGTACACTGATGCGCCGGCAGTTGCTGATCTTGCATACACCATTTTGCAACACCAGTTCGTTGCTGCAAATGGAGCCGCATTTCGCTGCAAACGTGTTGGACAAGGTCTTGCACTCGCATCCGAAGCTTGTGATATCTGGCGACATTACTGCTGCGCACCTTCTCGAACAAAGCACCTGCTTACTGCCCGTATTACGTGATGCAATATTTTATGGGAGTCTCGATTCCGACATCCCCAATCAGTTTGAAACCTTGTTTAATGTCTGTTCCTGCGAATACCAAGCAAAGTTTTTGTGGAGCACTTCTTGCATCACTTCGCTGCATGCGAAGATTGCCCGACATGGTTCCAGATTGATGCGGCAGACACATTTCAAGCCCACACACCTGTTCCGATATTTGCCATGCCGTTCGAATCATCCTGCAACAGTCTTTCGTTCATGGATTGGAGCTGAAATCAGGTGCTATGTCATCACGAACAGCTCATTCCAGTCCTTTTCTGATACAACGTCGGCTTTCAGAGATCGGTTGCATCGTTGTGGATACGATAATACTCTGCTGCAGCCGATTTTTGACCACACCCAGCTGTTGTATCACCAACGCTCTGGAATGTTGGGAACACGCGATAGTGGCATTGCCATCACTCCTTTGACCCATTCTTTGTGACAATGGGCTTGAGCCGCATTTCCAGGCAAATCGGCGAGGTGATTTCAGAGCAAACTGACTTCCCTGCCCCGGAGGGTCTTAGAACACTTATGGCTTTTCTTGCTTCACTCTTTGAGGCGTTTAACGCCCAATGAAGCACAGTATATTTCCTGAGGTGGGAGGGAGCGTTTGTTGTTTTCACATGTACCTGTGAAAACCCATTAAAAATATGCTGTGAAGTTGTAGAATCCACTCTACGATGAGAAACTGCACCCCCAATTGATCCCGGCTCTGCCAAATTGATGTTGCAAACGCAAGCTGCAGACGTGAAAGAACCGTTCAAAAAATGAACCCAAAGCAGTAGTTCTGTATACTTCAACCTAGAACAATCCGTATTTGCCCAGGTTCAACCGGCCTCTACTGGGAGTACTGGAAGCTGTGCTTCTTCCAGGTCCCCGGCATTGCCGTTCGCACCATCCTCACGTTGGTCTTTGATCAACTGAAGCCGCTGGGGTGCAACTTCATGCGGTTTAGGGGTTTGTAGGGTTCAAACGCTGGGCTGCAGGATTCACCAGCCTCACTCGTAGGTCTGAACCGACCCACTGGCGTCACTTCTTGGACTCATCGAAAGTGTGAACAACAAAAAGGCACCACGCCTCGCTGTCCCAGCTTCATGTCCTTTCTCCGTAGGGCCACATACTAGTACTAAGAGCAGGAACGAAGACGAACAAACAAGCAAACACAACAGCATTTGCTTTGACTTCGATACTTTGCGTGGATGTCTGCTGTGAATGCACCCCGGCATTGCGTGGACCTGGCACTCATCGTGAAGCAATGACACGGTTTCCACAACCGTGAGTTGAAGCCGCTGAGGTCTATACAAAGCTACCAATGGAACACCTCACCCACTCCTTTTAGGGTTTAGGGCTTCGCACCCACCCATGTGGGTTGAAGGTTTCGTATAGCCACGGCTTGCGCCCACCCACTCCTTTTAACGGTTTCGCATGCACCCACTCCTTTTAGGGTTTGGGGATTCAGGGTTTCGCACCCACCCAAGCCGTTTTAGAGTTTGAAGGTTTCGCAGCCACCCACTTTTTTTAGGGTTTAGGGTTTCGCACCCAACCACACGTTTTAGGGTTTGAGGGTTTTCCAGCCACTCACTCCTTTCAAGGTTCAGGGTGCCCCACCCTTCTTAGGGTTTAAAGTTTCGCATCCACCCACCCGTTTTGGGGTTCAAGTTCTCGCACCCACCCACTCCCTTTAGGGTGTGAGGTTTCGACCGCAACTCACTCCTTTCACGATTCAGGGTTCGGCACCCACAAAAGGGTTAGGGGACGAGGTTTCAAACCCACCCACCCCTTTTAGGGTTTGAGGGTTCGGCACCATTTAAGGGTTTCGCAGCCACTCACTCCTTTCAGGGTTTGAGGGTTCGGCAGCCTCACTGGTGGAACTGAGACACTTTGAGCGCAGCTATGTCTACGGCCTGTCATGCTGAAGAACCTTCGCTCGCGAAACTCACGGAATTTTGTGATGCGTTCAGGTATATGCCACGGAGCGGAGCGGCTCAGCAGTGCATTTGCCAGATATGTTTGCTCTGGGCTTTCCCTTACACACCAAAGACCCTGGCAGAAAGAGGACATCACGCTGGAAAGGTTGACAGATGATATTTGGGAGCAAACGAGACATGCTTGGCTGTGTTACCAACCCCCATGGGCAACGACGCATAGGCCCGGGAAGATCCTGCAGGCCCTGCTGGAGTTGCTTGTCCTGCATCAATAGAGGACTGCGCTTGCTTTTCGCAACGGCTCTAACCTTGCATGAGCTCATGCGTGCAAGAAGCCATAGTCAAGAGCCTTGAGTCCTTCGGATTTTGCTTTGGTGCCAGCAAGCCGTGTATGATTGCACTGCTGGCGACCCTTTAAATCCGTCTACAGTGACACTCGGATTGTCAGTCTCGCGTGAACCTGTTGAAGGTGTCGGACAAGCCAACGAAGCAGTGGTTTACCTTTCCAACATTACATCGGAGAAGCCCTCTTGCGCAGGTCAAAAGCCAAAAAGATTGAAAATTGGTTCCCGGCCAGAATCATAGAGCATAGAGCTTTTCAGTGCAATTCCGCGAAAGGGATGCCGTCTTCATGTTGTTCCGCCAGCAGCTGCCAGTGGCATGGGTTTCCCGGTGGCAAAGCGTGGGCCGCATGACTGGATGAAGGCTTCAGAGACTGTTGCCGTTCGCAACCTTCGGCCCAATGGCAATGCGGGCCAAAAAATGTGCCGGACGGGAACAGTGCAGGATGCGTAGA